ATCTGTATGCAGACCATCTTTTGTATGATGTGTAATGCCCGAGTCAGACTTGAGCGACAAGTGGCAGCGACAAGCCTTAAACACATCCAGCATGCTCGCGATGGTACCTTTGGCAGGCGTTTAGTCGTTCGGTGCTCGTGAATTAAGCACGATTGATTGAAAGCTTGTGAAATATACCCTTGCGTGCATGATGCTCGTGTGTGAGCATAGCCTTCTTTATTCCACATAGCCTGCCAAATCACGAAGGACTCTGGTTTGAGGCTTGTCGCTGTCGTTTTATTTATGTTTGTCGCTCGAGTGGGACTCGGGAATAAGCAGTGTGACCCCGGCTTTAGCCCGCAGGTGTGGGTGAGGATCGATTACGGTGAGCAGTAGGCCTCGATTGTTACCTACAACGCTACGGATTCAACAAACGGCAGATGAATCTCCGCCTAACGAAGATGACAGCGCACAGAGTGCTGCCCGACGTTCGAACGATTTTGCATATGGTCTATTGAGCCAATACCACATAGAAAGCTTTATGTCATCCGCGAACAGCAACACATTATATTTTTACTACACATGTGGCAGTTTTTTGACAAAAATCAGAAACAACGAGGCCTTAGATTTGAGCTTTGTGGTACTCCTGACATGGGCAAAAAAGATTTGAAACGATATTTGAAACACGCGCAACACATCGGCAATCCGACAGATAACTGTAAAAACACACCAAAAAAATTGGGGTAAACCCATTTTTTGACAATTTCCGTTAAAGAAAATTACGGCTCACCACATCAAAGGCCTTCGATAGATAAAAAAATAGCATAAACTTGACCACGAATTAAAATAAGGGGCACTGAGTATTCCAGAAAGCTACAAAGATTGAGGTACGCCACCATGTCGTACGCAACCCGACGGCTTGGCTCGGTGCCACGAGGAGAAGGTGAAAGCTCAAACAGCTCGTCTCATCCTACGATGGACTAAAACTCAGTGCTACAGGTCGCCATGTCCAATCACGAACCTGTTAGAAATCACGTGGTATATTTTCTCCATCGCACGTATCAGTGCGCCAAGACGCTTCATGCGGAGGCGAGGTTTTCGTCTGCATCGCGTCTTGCGGCCGCTTCGTCTGCTTGCTACTAGTGAGGACTACTGAAAGGATTAAATACCGCCTGGGAGCGATGTGGCAAAGAGAACCCGGGATCAGAACTAGTGGCCATTAAAAAATGAAGATGAGTAGAATCGAGTGTTCGACACTCTATGTACGGACCTCGTGCGGAAGGAAGGTACGGGTCCGGATACGCGTTACTTCCACAAAGATTGGATTGGATTGTTATGGCTAAGGCGAAACGCCTTTATGTCAGTGTTGCCTGCGCTTTTCAATTTCTATAAACAGTTTACTTATTTACGATATATGGCCATGAATGTTTATGAAACAAAATACCATGTACCTTTACTTCACCGATATAAAATAGCGTGCTATCACATCAGAAAACCATATGCGTAAGATTAGTGCTCTTTGTGCTCTGCGTATCAGAATTTCTCTCGCGCACTCTTTCGCAATGCGGATGCACGCTTTCCTGAGGTAGTGCTCTGCCCGCCAGCCTTCTGGCCCTAGTCCATTGTAGGGTGACACAGAGTATAGGGCCTACGGAACGGACGACATTCGGCTTGCGTAGCTGACTCCCGAGCAGACTTGTACGTAGTTCAACTACTCTATTCAAACTACTGTATTTTAACTGCTTTTCTGAGTTGTTTAGTAACTCTCAATTACATTTTTACTTCGATAATTAGTTGTTTACTTTTATTACTTGTTCCGAGCAACTTCTACTCAAATTACAAATTACTTCTGAATTTTAGTGGTTGTTTTGCCTTTCAACAAACATTCCGGCACAAAAAAAAAAGTTAAGATGTTGGAAAATCAGCTGATACTTGCAAAGAGGGTGAAGCATGTGGCGTAGGGATGTGGGAAGGTGAGGAAGTGGTTTGGAGAATTCGAACCCCCCCCCCCTCCCCCCCATTTTTACGAGCTTCCCATTGTAACAACATTTCTACGAGGCGCAGGGAGCGAACAGACAGGCGCAAGAGAGGCAGAGCAACTGTGGGATTAGCGCCGAGGACTGACGTTTCTTTGTGTTTCGAAGCTCAAGGAGACTTGGCCCTTGTGAAGAAAGGGCTGTTCCCCGCTTGTCCCAAACGTAGGAACTCTCGCCCACTACAGGAGCACACACTGCATCCTCACTCAAAGGAGGCAACAAAATGCAGCCCCCGCTCTGAAGCTCATCTGGTGCTTCCGCAGTTCGTGCTGCACTCGAAGAATCGCGTGCTAAAAAGCGACACAAAGGTGACCTTTTGCGTTGCTGTTCCTCCCAAAACTCAAATTATGTAGATCTTTAAAGATTCGAAGATTGTTCGAGAATCCTTAGAAACTCCCACAGCGTTTTTATATAAAAATGTACACACAATCAGCGTTATGAATTGCTCTAAGTACTTGACGTACTAATGTTTGCAAAAATTGTACTTCACATGAAGTACATTCTCTAAGCATGTACTTGTAATTTACTAAAGTATTCTTTCTGGTTATTTCCGAAGAAAGTAATACTTCCGACTCCAATATGCATTCCCCGAAATTGAAAAAAAAAATGGCGTATCGTCGTGTAAAAACGGGCTTTTTCGAGACGTCATCTGGTCATATCTCTGAGTGAAGTAATAGCGGCGATAAGACCGACACAGATAAGTGCGTTATAAGTTAATTGCATTAAATAGTTCGTCAGCGAGAGCAAAACAGCTACTCTGTGGCGACTTGACTTCACAATATTTGCTGCCACTTCCATAACAAACTGATGCACTTCCGATTTCCCCGGATGCCGTGCATACAAGTTAAAAAAAAGAAAAAAACACTACCGGCAATGAAAGGGCCGAATGAAAGAATTTGTTAAAGCACCTGTACTTTACCTTGAAATACAGTCAAACCCGTTTATAACGAACAGCAGGAAACTCTACGATCAGTTCGATATAGCAAGTAGTTCGACATAGCGAAAACCATTTAGAACGAACTTTCACGATGCGTTCGTTGTAAGGCGAGAGCTTCTCCTTCTTTCTCATGTCTACACTTCCGCCTTGTAACACCCCGCTAAAAAGTGTTTTTTTTTCTTTTTTTATGCGTACAGAGTTTCTTCTTTTAGCTTATCTCCCCTTCTGAATCGCTTCTCTTCGTGGGCAAACGCTTTGGGATGAAAAGCTCTTTTTTTTGTGCGTGCGTGCATTGCAGAGAGTATTTTTTAGCTTTCTACTCTTCTGAATCGCTTCTCTTCGCTCAATTTTGTTCGCAACTTGAGCTTTTGAAATTTTCTTTCTTTCCTACTTCTTTTGGGGGGAAGGTACAGGCTAAAAGACGATTGTTAGCGCGTTTTTGGAAACCTTCCCGTGGGGGAAAAGTGCGATATAACCAATATGTTGTTTGTTATAAATTGTTTGTTTTAAATTCATTTGTATTTAAATTTTTTCAGAGTTCGATACCGGCATTAAATCGCTATACGTGGGTTCGTTCTAAACGGGTTTAGAAAAAAATAAAACGAGTTCAGTATAACATTATTTGAATTTTTGTTGGTGACCCGGACGTGATCAATGTAGATTCAAGTAATGTTCTACTGAACTCGTTTTATTTTTCTGAGAGACTACACACTGAATGATGACATTTAAACTACGAGGAATGTTCACGCGTCCTAACCGGGCGCTGCTCGCAAGGCCGTCTGCCCTCTTCTCCTCTCTCCCCTCTTGCCGTGGGGGCGACTTGAGTTGTTTAGTCCAGAGCCGTATATTGGGCGAGTTTGGCCAGTGGGTGTGGTGACGAAGGCGCCGGAGTGGAGAAAAGTAAATGAAAGGGAGGAGAGCGCCGAAGGAGCGAGAGACAAAGAAGAGAGCAAAAAGGAGGCGACCGCCATTTTTTAGCAACGCTGTCGGAGACTGGTCGGAGAAGAGCACTGCTGAGGCTACGCATCGTCTGCTACGGGCCGACTTCTTTTTCGCCTGAATAAAAGTTTGTGTCCATACGCCAAAAAATCTTCATTTATTAGCTTTTTAACCCACCGAGGAATAACAGAATGTCATTTTCTTGCCAGAGCCAGCTATATAAAAGGCAACAATCAAGATTTAGATGTCGGTCCCACGCATTCCGCCGGGAGAATGATCGAAGATGGCGGCCCTCCCCACTCAAGTGGGAGCAGCCGGGAGTTCACGCGCACGCGCACATGCCTCTCGCTCTACGCCGCGTGCTGATTGGCTCACATGGGATTAGAGCGTTACGGCGGCGAGATCATAGACTGACCAAACTCTCCCAATATACGGCTCTGGTTTAGTCTACCCTTACGGAGGTCTGGCCGTCTGGCCCGCGTGTTTAATGTTCCGTAGAATGAAGAAGAAAGGGCGTAGGCTGGGGATGGAGGAAAAAGTAAAAGTCAGATGTTAGTCAGCCGTGTGACTGTCCAGTCCCTTCCTTCGTGTTCTTGTGTTTCCGTGTTCAGCTGACCTGATTGCCTGTAGCCTACTAAGGTGGAGTCAGTCAAATAAGACCTAATTGCTTGAGAATTGTGGGTTCATTTAGAAATGCACACTTTGTATATTTCACTGCCATTAGGGAAGTTCGCAAAATTTAGACAGGGAGGAAAGTCGTCCTTAATTTTGCATGTCACGGAGGTTGACATCGCCATATAAACGTCAGATAAGAGAATAAAAATTCGTGAGTTCTGTTTTGTAATTTCTGTTTTATGCAAACTTTAGTTAACTCTCATTAATATGTGTAAACTATATAGAATACATGCATGTCTCGTTAATACGGACTTCGTTAATAGAGATAGCCCGATGTATAAAAACGTTTTTAGGGACGAACTGGGTAAATACACTCATATATGTCCGGTTATTCTGGACATTATTCAATATACATTCATATATGTCTGGTGAACTCAAATTCTGGATGAATTTATTGTCAACCTTCGTGTCCTTATTAACAAGACATTACTGCATTAGCACCCAGGGGGCAATGTTGGAGTGGTAGTTGTTTCCTCTGGAGTTTCTGGGGCCTCTGGGGGAGGCTCTTTTGGCGTCTCTCCAGGTTCGGGCGCCTTTGTAGAAGGCTTCCTGGTGTCTTCAGTCGTATTCTTGCAGCTGTTGTTATATACTTGATTCTTGAAGGCGTCAGTTTTTCCGCAAGCATTCCCATATATAGATTCACACAATTTAGGTACAGGTTGACTGACACATTTGTCATGAAGGTAGAGCTCACAAGCAGCTCCTAGAATGAAAAACAAAATTAAACATCAGCACATTCTTCTGATTGACGCAGCTGCGAAAGAATGCAATGTTTAATATTTACTAGCACACACTTGTGTGCCATTACTTGTTTGTGTTGTTTGACTAGTTCAAGGTCAGAAAATATTTCATACCACCGAAAAAAGGTGCACTGAGACGATACGTTGTATAAGAAAACAAATCACATCGTCCAAGTAGAAAGCGCGGTACCGATATAAATTGCTTCGTTTGCAGAAGTGGTAAATAATTGTAATACTACGTTATCTTATGATATGTGGTCTCTTGAATTGATCCCCTCTAATTTCATGGTACGCCTAACATGCTGAATGCCTATTCCATAAACTAAAATATGTTTGAGGTTAAGTGAGTTACCGTATCAAAACTAACCATATAGAACACACCAATGCCTCATACTTACTAAACCGGATAATAACTTTCAACTCGTTATAACCTCCATTTTTTTAACAATTAATGGGCGTGGTCAAGTAACGCTTATTGGACGATGCGCACGAAATATGCCGAGTTACCAGCCCTATACTGCTCTTTCCATCTCAACGTCGTGTCTGAAACTAAATCAAGCTGAATTAATAGGGCATGTTTAATTGGATGCAGTGGGTGTGACGCATTTGTTCTTTGTTTCAATCTGTATTTTATATGTAGTGGTGTTAAGCGAGAAAAAAAAAACAATGCTTCTTATCTAAAAGTTCAAACACACGCTTAGTTTAAAAAAAAAAAAAAAAAAAAAAGAAATCCCAAAGGAGCGTGGAAGGATGAAGGGGATTTGACACTCGAAGCCAAAGTATTAGCATCAGATTCTCGTTGTTTTTTAAATGCATTGGGAACCTGTCGTCCACAAATTAAAATATCATTGTCGATCTCTTGTTTTCATTGGGCATCCTTTCAAATTTAACGCTCAATATAAGAAAATAAGAGGACGGTGGTCTCTCGAACGTTCTAAGCAGACAGATATTATGACCCTACAAACATTCTAGAGGGGCGTTGAGTATGAATAAAATTTATTTAATTCCATAATTATTGATGCATATGCATGGTCACCATAACTTTTATCATCTTCAATCATGACACAGACGACAATCGTCATATATCCACCCCAGGAAGTAAGTTTTTGTAACATGTTTAAGCAACGGTACTGTGTTTTCAGAGCCAACCAACTGCATGGGTTGATGAAAAAAATATATGCGGGACGAAAAAATAAAAAAAGGGTTGTCTTTCTGTGCTTGGTGATCTTTTGTGATTATATACTTAAACCATTCTTTTAGATTTAGTAACTTAATATCAACAACTTCTAAAGAAAAACTTTAAGCTATCATAAGGAAAGGATATCTTATATACGTGATACGAATTCAAACGTGATACTTGAAAAATGCAATAAAAATAAATGTTTTGTGCAATATACAACGTTAAGCCGTTTTTCGATGCGTTATTGCCCTTTTTTTTACAATTTCGGCCACCAGCAATAGACCGCTTTAAGTATCATATTTGACAAGCCTATACATATGTTTTATTGAGTATGTCCACGGCAATAATTCTGCTGTCTACCTGCGTGCGGACACAGTGACACCGTCGCACGCTTTGCCAGGCTCGACGGTGGCGTGCTGTGTAGAGAAGAGGCGCAAGAAACGACGCCAGGTTGCGGCGCGAGAGCTCAACTTTAAAGCGTTTTTTTTTCTCTTTATAACAAAATTACTTTATTTAAACTTCCAAGAACTAAAGGCAATAAACTCTTATGTAAAAGTCACCATGTTTCCTATTTTTCTTTGGGCCACTTCAAGCCAGAATTGACGGCTCTTGAAACGGCAAAACGCAATTTAGTACAAATTTAAACGCAATTTTGCACAAATTTAGTTGATCTTCTGCGTGATATTTAGTTGTACGGCCTGAAACCTTTTTCTTGTTTTGTTTGTGCAGTATACTTACAGGGCTGTCAATAAAAATTTTACAGTCACCTGCAGCAACGAGATAGTTTGTAACAAAACTATCAAAAACTCAGAAAATTCTTACATATTCCCTATTTTTTAAATTGCTTCAAGCCAATATTCGTGATGCTTATTACATAGCCATCCAAATAACGTGTAATTTTTAGGAAAAATATACCACCTTTTTATAAATATATCTTACTTCTAGAGCCCTGCATATCCGGTGATTATGCGCGGGTATCTGCGAATATCCTCAGTAAACTTGCGGATTCGGCTAAAAAGGAATCAGATTTTGCGGATTGCGGATCGATGCGGTTGTATGGATCGGATACGGATATCCGCGGGTCCGAATCCATTTTGGCCGAGGCGGCCCAGAAACGTGTGTGACCAGACTGGATGAGTGAGTGATACAATGAAGTGCATCATCGAAGCTATTGCGAGGACAAACTGCTCTATTAGATTAAAGATGTCGATAGAGGAGAAAGTCATTATTTACGTCAATAAAAATTTGATTCTCAGTAAAGATTACTTTAGAACGCTATATCTTGCCAAAAATACTGTCCCTAGGAAAAGCAAAGAATGCAGGAGTATCAGTCGTCCCGGGAAGCGTGTTCTTCTTTGGCGGAAAAAAAGCAAAAAATGTTCCAACAAAAAAAACAAAAAAAAAACAACCTAAAACGTACAACCCACAAGAAAGTAGAAGAAACCTACATGTTGCTTATTCGCCTGCAAGTATATATTGAGGAGACAATTCGATCCTCTGGAGGGATGGAACTTGCGCCAGTGCGAGTTCTCGCACTTCATTCTTGTAGTGTATTTTGTGCATACCACCCCAGCATCAAGTGCACCAGCGGAGAGAGACTTATTAGTAGCGCGTATTAATTTAAGAGAGGCAAACCAGTCTCAATCCTTTCGAGTTTACGATATTCTGTTTCTTCAACCCAACAAACTCGCCAAGTGAAATGTTGTGTGTGTGTGCGTTTTCTTTTTCTCGACAGTCGGCACTAAGTTGTTCTTAAGTATACGGTTCCGAGCAAGCGGTTGAGTGTTCGTGTTTAAAACTGAAACCGATAAGAGGTGTTGTCATTATTGAATATGGCGATATTTTCCCTGTGGTGTACTCGCGTCTTACCACACTGTATACACGAGTATTTTGCTGCTGCGAATGAACGCCTTTCCTCCAATATTTTACTGTTTGACCTAAAAAAGATGACACAATGTTATTATTCTGTCCTTTGGCATTTTTCATGTTTATGAAATATGCGTCTGCTTGAAGTGGGTTTCACAAAGCGCAAAATAAAATAAATGCATAATTCCTTCCTGTTGAGCGCATATGCTGGCCAGACTGTCACTATCACGGACCCTCAAGATCTAATGAATACGATAATGCCGAATATGATAACATGACTTTCACCGTATTTCTACACGAAGAGGTCTTTCCAGAAAGGTAAGCAGACGGCTCATAATATACCATCCAGATTTTTTTAAAGATTTATTAATGCTTGGATTTATCATGTAAAATGAATGCGCAGATTGAAAGTCACATACGATTCCTAAATTAGCGGATGCGGTTCGTATACGGATGCAAAGTCTCCGGATGGTGATTGGATGCGGATGCGGATGATCAAACTGTTATCCGCGCAGGGCTCTACGTACTTCTCATGGAGAAGTAAGATATATTTATGGAGAAGTCCACGTCGCCCGACGCATTGAGAAGTCCACGTCAGCTGATGCCGCCCGTCGATTAGGCATCGCGTTTCGGAGTGTGAGGAGCCGCCCTCGGATACAAAGGGCACAGCGGGCCTGCTGTGGCTACGCACTGGCGGCACCTCCGATTATCGACACGGGAAGCGGCAACGGATTAACAACAAGGGGAAGCGGCAGTAAACTCCGTTCTTTCTTTGGACCTAATCGTGTCAGCTACCGTCGCCGATGGCGTGCTGTGCGGCGAAGAGACGTTAAGAAGCGACGCCGGGTTGTGGTACGCGAGTTCAAATTCAAACATTGTTTTCTCGGTTTAAGCAAAAATTGCTTTGATTAAACTTTCACAATCAAAAGACAAGCGATCGATATTCCAAACCCATCATATTTTGTATTTTTACTTGAACCACCTCAGGGTGAAATAAGCGGCTGTCTATGCGTCTAAACGCACTTTTTGGCAAATTCTGGATTTTTGTTTTACTGCGAGATATTTAATTGAGCGGTTTAAACATTTTTTATAGAATTTATACCTGCAGGGCAGTCGGTTAAAAGTTCTATTAAGTCCCCGGAGCAATTACATATAATTTTTTAAAAAAGTAACAAAAATGCGAAAATTAAAAGAAAATTGTGTTTAACAAAATATTTATATTAAACAAAACTGCAGAAACCCAACCACATTGCAAGACGAAAGCCGTGCAGATTTAAGAAAAAATAGTGTTGTTTTTCTTAAAAAAGCTGATTTTTTTTATAAATTATGGAGTGATACCTAGTCTTTAGTTGTTATTAAAAGTTAAAACCGCGCTCACGCCATCAAAAAAATATTTTCGTCAAAAATATTTTAGGGCATGGCTACGAACAATGCAAAAAAAAAGGCCATGATTTTTTTTTTTTTTAGAATTCGAAGTTGGTCGGGCGCAACGTCTGGGACATTTGACTTGGAATGACCCTTATGACTGCATATTCTCACCCATAACTTGAAAAAAAAATCATCCAAGCTTGCCGTTCCTCTTCTCCTTCATTTAGATATACTTCCAAAACACGTGCATATATTGTTTATCAAAAAAAATGCGACACAAAAATCCGTCCCTGCCCGAAGGAAAACTCCATCACTGTAACTCTGTTTGGCAGTCAATGTTTTCTAGTGGACCGCTGACTGTGCCTGACTGTACGTCAAGCATGTCTGATTGGCCAACAAGTTACTCTGACCGACAGTCAAACTCCAGTCAGACTCCACTTGTCGGCTTTCTGATGGTTTCCTGGTGGCAGTCGGCCACCGCGAAATGCCATCAAGATGTCTTGGTGGCGATTCTGATTGTACATCGATTGTTTCTGACTGTACGTCAAA